TCTCTTCTGTCTTCTCTCTGCCTCTCTTTCTCTCTGTCTCTCTCTCTTTCTCTCAGTCACCCTCTCTCTTAGACATTAGAACCCGAAACCTTCATAGCTTTTAACAACCCTAACCACACATTGCCATCTCAAGGTGTTAGTTCCTCACAACTCAGCTCAAGGCTGCAAAGAGAGGGTAGCCAGCCCACCCAATACTACATGGAAAATTCAAACAACAACTAGAAAGTCGGACAAAAAGACTATGGTTTGGTGTATGATGTGCCGACCTACCAGCTTGTTGAATTTCGAGTTTTTCCTAGCTCTAGTTCTCAAGATATTGATGTTTTATTTGTTTGGAGAAGAAGAGGAGGAGGAGGAGGAAACTGAGCAAGAGAGGTAAACATAACAAACCTGGACCAGGACGATGAAGCCGTGCGGCAGTCCTCCCCCGGCGCAGCCGTCCTCGGCACGACTTGTGCAGTGCCAGCCGAAGTTGGGCAGCATCGCCAGCACCACGGACCACGTCCAGACGATCAGCACCACGACCTTGCTCTTGTCGTTGGTGACGTTGTTGACGTAGGTCATCCCATGCACAATGAACCAGTAGCGCTCGGCAGTCAGGGCCAGCAGACCGTAAGTGGACGACATGCCAGAGAGTAGCATCGAGGTAGAGGAGAGGCGTAACGCGGCAATAGACGGATGAGACTGCGTGTAGAAGTGATACAACCCAAAAATACATCGAAGTCCGAATGTGGTGCCCGCTAAGACATCACCTGCCGCCAGGTTTGCCATGAGAATGTAGACAGGAGTGTGAAGTTGTTCGTGCTTGACGATGGCAGCTAACGGCAAGCTGTTTGTCACCACCGACCAGAAACTAAGTAGACATACGGCGACGTATGCGGGTACACGTGGCTGGAACTCTAGGTCAAGAGATAGAGGTTTTGAGTCATTTTCCGGACACCCTGGGATGCTTTCGATCGTGCTTTCTCCTGCATTAGACTTGTTTGTAGCCGAGAGGGACTCACAATTCACCGAGGACCCGTTTCGCAGTGTCGCTTTGTGGATGAGGATGTTGGTTGTTTCTCCGGCCCCTTTTGTGCCATTCAAACTCGCCCCTGAAGCCAAACTGGTCCCTGCGTAGCGAATTGTGACCACCAGGACCACCAGCACTGGTCCCATGTACATGTAGCTCTTTCTGCAGTCCATTTCGGTCGTTTTTTGGAGCGGAAAACGTCAGTCCGTGAGCTACGTTCTCCTTGAAAACACCACTGACTGACAATGTGAAAACGGTATCTTACTGTGGACCAACAATCAACTGAGCGGGTTTCAATCTGGTGTAATTAGTCTTATATTGTGCCGGTTCACCGGTTGCTCACAGCCTTTCTTCACATTTGATTTCAAAGTTCAATAGAGATGCAGCAAATATGTCCGGTTGCATATACTCCGCGTCTATCACGACTTCTCCGCTCGTTTGATAAAACTTGAATGCATCTAATTACAAGGTAATTACTCTATTGAGCTGTTGACAGAAGGTTGCTGTTTTTTATATTTCAGTCCATACCATGGTATGGATGAAATATATTGTGTTCCCTCATGTTTCTCCTCCTCCTCCTTCTCCTGCCACTCGTTCAGAGGGATTCAACTCCGCCCTCATTCAGCCAAATGACCTGAAATTTGGCATGGAGGTAGAGTGGGCAAATACCCCCAGACATTTTTTCATTTTTTTGAAACATACATTTGAAAAATTTTTATGAAGGTTTTTTGGGGCATTTTTCGACAAAAAATGGATTTTTGGATCCTGAGCCCTGGTATTACAACCAAATGATATGACATTCAGTGTAAGGGTACCTTGAACGTGTGTCTACAGAATAGTAGTCACATATTTGGCATACACCACTTCCAAATGACTCATTTGGGGGACTTTAATGGCTATTTCCAGCAAAAAAAGGGCCAAAAGTACTGTACCCGTTCCATGTTCTATCTAAAGAATGGCCGGTTCCATCCATGGAACACGTGTTCCATTGCGGGTTACCTGAGGTCACATTGCACCTAAGTGGTGCGTAATGACCCACACATTCAATTTTATGTGCCTATGCCTCAAAATGTATCAAATCTCATCATTGTTAGTTTTTGCATACCTGTAATAAGATTAGTAAAGCTTTCGAGATTCAAAGTACTTGTTGTTGCATCTTTGTTCTCATATACATGTAGCTACTATTTAATTCATTTATTTGAGAACCTTTGCCAGTTTTGCACTGGGGTAAGTTTGGAATAGTCCACTTTTGCGTGGGAGGGAGATGGACTGAAATATGCTGTATTTGCTCCCAAGCAAATGTCGGCCTTTCTAGTTTTCCGTTGTTTTCTTGTAGCAGTGCAGCCGAAATGAAACATACTCACATTCCACAAAGGCAACCAAAGTGATTAAGAGACGTTTGAATTCAATGGTCGTTTTGCGTCAGTGAGAAAGACATCAGCATTAGTAAGCTTAGGTAAATCCTATTATTTTCCATACATAATTTGAATAATGAGCGTAAAATATAGCCATGACAACCATACCAGCAGACAGTAAACGTTTATTGTTATTTGTTGTTTACAATACAAGTATATATGTTTTAGATTGCTCCAAATATCAATATCAGTTGTTTTCAACAGCACAACCATCTTCTCTAAATGTGTGTAATCATCCTAGAACATTAAATGGCACATTGGTTGTACTTGACATTAAAGACTCAGAGACTAGAAAAAATCTTAGCCAAGGTGGGAAGTGGCCCGTGCGCTGTAGCTATAACCTGTAAGAAAGGAAAGACAACAATTAGTATTTTCGAAAACATTCATATGCCTTCTGTTATAAAACGTTATACATCAGAAGATGAACACATTCAAATAAAATAACGGAATCCAACGTGATACGCCCGTTTAGAGAGGGTAGATCTGAACTAAATATCTGATCACGAAGACTGGTGTTATTATAACGTCGCAATGCGGTCACATTCCTTGTAGACCCTCGTACGACTTTGATGCTGTAGAATTTTCAAGCAGACTGTGACAGAACCAACCGCCGACAACATTTGCCTTGTCAAGAAAGCTGAACTTTGTACACATGCTCGACTATTCCACGAATGTTTACGATCATGCTACGATAATACGAATATGATCAAGGAGTCGTAACAAGGAGAGGAAAGTGCAATCTCATTACAAATTCTTCAAAACGAAAAGTTGATATGGAATTTCTAAGGCAGGTGTCCATAGTGAACATGGCATTACCTTATTGTTACCGTTGCCATGTGTGCAGTATGAGGGGGGAGACAGGAGACTTGTGTTGTGTATCCCTTCCTTCATGTTATACACCCGGGCATCGAAGAAGAACCCACCGCTGGTCGGGCTGCCATCCACTAGGGACAGTCTAATCGGCGTGCAGTCTGAAATAATGGCAAAAGTGAAATAATTATCTGAAATATCGTGTAAGATCTTGATAACAGTGTTTCTTTACACCGTCTTGGACGTCCTTATAACTTAGGATTTCAGTGCAAGCAGGTTTTCAGTTCCGTTTGCGGAAATATTGTTTTGGGTGGCTTATACTGGAGTCAGTTTGTACGTTTCGTGTCCGCGCCGAGTGGCGACGATTGCATAGAGAATGGAAGGTGGTTTTGACTGTTGTTCATTGAAACTAATTGAAGGTGACTCAGCAGGCGCCGTGTGGAAAGATGTCACTGAGTATGTGCAAGAATCCAGGAAAATAATGCTGTATAATACACGATTAGATTGTATCATACGATATCCCCTCTGCATTTCCAATACGCACACGCCAACACTTTCCTGTAGTCTAAAGTCTCACAGATTTTCTACCACAATCATCACACTAAACGTATTTTGCGAAAACTGTTGTTTACATTATATACGGCTTTTCCTTACCTGTCCTGGTTACCGTGGCCGTGGCGGCTGCCGGGAACCCGGGGTCTCCCACCGGCCACTTGAACTTGAAAATATCGCAGACCAGCTGACTTGGACCGAGACGTGCGGTAGCAACGTGGACGGCGTCATCTGTAAATGGGGAACACTCGGGCGTTAATCTTCTATCGTCGTAATAGTATTTTTAATCGATTTTTATGTAGAATGCTGCATTGTTGCTCCATACCTGCCACACACAGCTTGGCTACAGGTCCCTTACTCAGCTCGCTATGCTGGCAGCTGTGTCCTGTCAGGTCCACCGTCCACATCACTCCCTGAGCAAAGAAAAGATAAAAAGTGTCTTTTCCCCCAAATGAAACGCATTTTCATTTTTATATATAAACGCATTTAAAGTCTGTATGTTAATCCGTACTTATTACAGCGGTGGCCACAGGTACAGGTTGGCATGCATTTATTATACTAAGGTGGTCACCAGTACACTGTTCTTGTTACGTCAACAGTTTTACTGAAGTTCTCAACACTAACCGTTTTGTGGTCCCAGATGTAGGCCGTGTGGATGGGCTGTGGTTTGGGAACGAGAGGGCTGTACTGAGTTCCCGTCATCCACATCGCGGTGACGCTCTTGTTCCAGTCGAAGGCGAAGTCTGCAGTTAGGTTCATAACCGCTTGGGCAGTGTCACTGTCAATAAAGGCCTGTGTACACAACGGGCAAAGAAAACATCAGTTATCCATTGAGTAATTAATTAACAATCGTCAGTGTGAAGTTGTCAACTTGTTGGGAACGGCTCAAAGTCAAACGACTTTCCTCACTCCATCCATGGTGTGAAATGGGTACCTGACTTCGGTATGAAAGACATTGGATGAGGGTTAGGCTCCGCCTTCCAATACTGCGCCCTCATGATAGCTAGACACAGTGGATTGACTACCTAGAACCTTGCCCGATCCTAACACTAAACCACTCAGGCATAGAACTAGATAGCTATATAGTCACGGTTCTGGATACAGTACGCCAATATGTGTATTTAGAGGTTGTGTTCTGTGTACCTGTCCGTATGTGACCCCCAGTGTCGCCTGCCACTGCAGAGGTGTACAGCACGGCTGTTGTGCCTCCACAAATCCCACCGTCATGCGGAGCACGAACACGAGTAGAACTGATAGAATCGTCATTTCTGTTCCACAGTTAACCCAGGTTAGGGGGGCCGACTTTTGGAACCAACGACTGTAAAACAAACCTGCTACAGGTGGTTTGTTGACCGTGCAAAGGTTATAAGTCATTGAGTAGCGGTGTAAGCCATACGGGGTGACGTTTATCTGGAGAACCATTTCCAGTTTGCGGGCCGAAAATAATGTTGAAGAAAACTCATTCAAACACACTAAATGGGCGTACATAGCCTGCTTTGCACTGAAGTAGACACGTTGTCTTGTGTCAGACGACGGTGTAACATAGCATTAAGGGGCTCCCCCAGGCGCCCAATGTTATACTGCACCATGGCCTTGCACTTAAAGTATAGTCCACACATCAGACATTTTGAAGGGGAAATAAGACCTACTGACAGATAAACAGATAAAAAACACCGTTGTATTTGTTCAGTGTCGTCTTGCTTTACAAAATAGGATTCAAATTTGGCTGAGGCTGTCCTTTAGGGGGGCGTTAATTTACAGGAACCAATTTACTTTTTATTCAACAGTTTATATCCGCTTCTTCATCAAACTATGGCTATAATAACGCTAGTATGAATGAGAGAGTCATCATACAAGACGTGTACACATTGAAAACACTTTTCATGGCTTAAGTTGATCCACACTTTATGGGTTCAACGCTCTGCTTTTAAAAACGGTTCATCGTAGGTCACCCAATGACCGATTCCACAGCCTAACGCATTCTATTAATATAATTATCGCCACAATAGCAGGCCTTGTGGCTGGCATTTTGATATCTCGTGTTTTATTTGGCTGATTTGGTGCTATTTTCACATTGCTGTCGTGTTTAACAACGTTTACTGTCGATGTACTGGTCTACTATATTTGGTCCCAATGCAAACACACTGCCAACTACTCCTGACACATTCTGTTTGTTTTTATGTGGATTGGTGGTCTCCTTTTTCGTCGGAGTCTTCTCGTATGTCAGCTCCTTTTCTCGAAGCTATCCAAAGCCTCCTTTCTACAGTTCCAGCTACCCTTTCAACGTTAACAAAGGAACGCGACGCCTAGTTTCTAACTGTTGTTTACCCTGCACCCGGGCGTAAAAATGGAGTCTAGGTAAGACCGTAGTTGCACATAGTACTGGGAGTGACCGATTATACCGATGGATTTCATGACAACTGGTGCTGATGAAGGCTAGGAAACAGTGCAGAAAACCACCAGGTATGTGTGTAACACTACTACTTAGACCGGGACACTATATAGTGCGCCGAAGCCAGTGTTGCAAATGTGGGATGTGAAAGAGATAGAAAGGATCGCAGGGGAGGGGTGTGATCTTTGCGTCAAGTAGAGAGTACTGCGCTTTTAAGATGTACTTCTTGCCCTAGAAGTACACTTCCTTTCATACGAATCTTGGCAGACTATGATCAAAGGCAATACAACATTAGTGTGTCATAACTACGTGTACTCGCCCAGATTAGAGTACCTGTATCCCCATGTGCCTGTATCATCTGCGCTTGAACTGTACTCAGTGTATGTGATACGCACTAGTGGTTGCATGTGATGACTAACATCTAGCTTCTGTCAACATTACGGACGCTTGAATGTGAAAAGACGTACATGCGCGTCTTTGGTGTGGTGGCTTGATTTCCAAGTAACGATGTCGTTGATTGGGCATTTTAAATAGTAGAAGTGTTTATGCACGACGACAAATTCGGGAAAAGCTTTACTTGTCGTGTACATTTTGTTTAATGCACCGATTTTTTACAGCCGATATCCTCACAATCATCACCTGGAATTACTCAACGTATAAAATCTCACGCATCATTTTTTTTTACATTTTGCAATAGACTGATGATTTTACTTCATGCATTGCTAGCCTCCTGTGCAGGCCCCGCGGCGGTGTGGAAGAGTTTTTAACGCGTTATTAATATAGCCGGCCATCCTACATAGCCGCCGAGAGAAGGTTGCTTTCCGCCCACGGGGAGGCTAATTCATGCACAGGAGGATAATGCATTGCCCACTGACAACAGATTATTTATGGTTACACTTTCTCAATTTTTGCAGGGGATGATCTGGCCTTTATGACGTCTTACGCTCTTTGGTAATCCGTTTTGCTCATCCGGAGAAACTGTAACATTACTGACGATGTACGCTGTACGTGGTGGAACCTCCACTCCGGAACCCACCCGCGGAAAATTCAGCAGACTAGAGGAGAAAATATCCCGAGCGCCTCTCGAGACCTTCCGGAAACAGGCGAAGAGCATCGCTCGCCGTCGTTCGGACAAAGTCGCCTTGCGAGTCGGAGGTACTCGGTTTCAGGTCTCCAGACACATCTTGGACTTCCATCCGGACACGTTGCTAGGCAGTGAGGAACGCGAGCGCTTCTTTGACCAGGACGCTCAGGAGTACGTCTTTCCCGATCGAGACCCTGAGATTTTCCGATACGTGCTGAGCTACTATCAAACGGGGATGCTTCACTTTCCTTTCGAAGAGGAGTTGCTGGACTATCAGCAGGAACTCTTGGCCTTCGGCTTCGACTTAGATCAGCTCGAACAAGTCATCAGCAGCTGTTGTCTGGAGTTTTACGAAGACAAGCAGGAGGCCTTGGAGAAGTTGAAACCGTTTCTTAAGAAAAAGATGGCCAAGCCTAAACCGCGGACGATCCGAGAGCGTCTGTTTCACATGATCGAGAACCCAAAGCAGAGCACATTTGGAGCTGCGTTTTTCTGGCTCACTTCAGCCTTCATTGCACTCTCTGTGACAGCGAATGTGGTAGAACACTCCATCTACTCTCCTGGGGAAAAGGAGGGCGAGTTCGTCTACGTCGGAGAGGCCTATGTGACTCCGTTTTTGGTTGTTGAGGTGGCGGTCGCCATAGTTTTCACGCTGGAGTACATCATCAGATTCTACGCCGCTCCCAACCGCCTCAAGCACGTCCGTCAGTTCATGAGCGTGGTGGACCTGGTCAGCATCCTGCCGTTCTACATCAGCCTCATGCTGCCGCAGAAAAGCGCCGTCACCAGCGCCTTCGTCACCCTCAGGGTCCTCCGCGTCTTCCGCGTCTTCAAACTCGCCCGCCACTCAGAGAAGCTGAAACGACTGGGCTATGTGGTGAAGAACAGCATGAGAGACCTTGGCTTTCTAGTCTTCACCATGATGATAACAGTCGTGCTGTTCTCTATAATCATATACCAAGCGGAGAGGTTTTCACCAGACTCGCCCTTCGTCTCGGTCCCACACACCTTCTGGTACATCATCGTCACCATGGTAACGCTAGGGTACGGAGACATGGTGGCTGTGACCATATTTGGCAAGATTGTGACGGGAATCTGCATGATCAGTTCCGTGATTCTCCTAACCCTCCCCGTAACGGTCGTCATCGGCAACTATAACGAACTGTGCAGGTCCACGCAAGACATGGTCTACATCAAACGGAAGGGATGCCGGTGTCTGGCGCCTGAGCCAAAGGCCCCTCAAACGCAAGACGAGTGCGTTGAAAATAATGAGGTTTCGCATCAGCCAATGGGGACAGAGAGCACACCCTTAATTACTTGGTCCAGCAGCGTTTAGTTTCTGTAAACTAAACAGTGCCTAACAAAGGTTCATCTCAATGCCTGTACCGATCAAAAAGTGCTAAAAAGATAGACAAACTGACAAATAGACAGTGGAACATTTGCAGAATTCAGACCCTCTTTAATTGTCCATTGCAAAGTACCAGCTCAGAAAAAATTGTAAAATTTTAAAAAGTCTGTAGTAGGGCAAGGTGAGAATGATAGTACTTTGCTGTGTGCAGTGGTTACATTAATTGTTCATGTTTTACCATTGTGCTACAACTGTTTGTCCTGATTTGAATGTGCTGCTGGTAATAAACTAAAAGGATGTTAATGACCTCCACTTCATAGCCACTAGTTTTCTTTGTTAACAACAAATTCAAGATTTCAGACTTGTGGAAAGTATACAATCCTCCACTTCCTGAATTCCCCCTAATAGACTTCTAATTCCTGCTGGCTCCCGGCCAGATTATGTGACCTTTGTCATTCTGCCCATCAATTTCCCCCACCCACGTGCTGTCAACCTACTCGAATCCCATTAAAAAGTACTACACAAAATCTCCGCTCAGCCACCGAAGACAATACAACACCTGGAAGTAATCCCCTGCCATGTTAACATCAGAGATGAGACTAGTGTCAGGTCAGGTTTCAAACAGTTTTGAAAGAGAAAAAGAACTAAGTCGCCAAACCACATCAACTTTAACAGAATATGCGATAGATTAAGTCCTGTGACATATCGTGACATATGGACAATATTTTAGGCAATTACTGGCTATGCATCAAACAATTTCAGCATTTAAATGTTGATTTAAAACAGTCTTCTTGCACAACCACTTAACCCATGAAATGGTATTACACCAGAAATTGACATACATGTACAACATACAATTTTCTTAGTTTTTATCTGTTTTTCGATATTGATCTGCTTTGACACTGTGCTTACAAGAGGTAGCAGTAGAATGGTGCAGCTCTACATGGTGAAATATCATTTCAAAAAGTGAGCAAACTCCATGTACTATCTATCAGTGTAGGAATTCTAAAAACCACTGCTAGCATTAAAAGTCTGGAGGTAGAAACTAGTCAAGCAACCACCCAGGTGTCTCAATGACCCCTCAAAGCTGGGACTTGGCCAGTGACCCCATGGGGTCCCATGCTGGAAGGACCACGGGTTCCTGCTTGAACACAGCCATGACATCGTCAGAGACAAACTTTTTATCGACGACCACCTCAAACACGTACTCGCTGAACCAATCATCGGTCATGATGAGGTAGCCTGTAAGAGGACAGGAATATGGTATGTTACAAAATGTCTGAAGGAAAGTCTTTTTCTGAAGGTCCGAACCCAACAAAACACAGCAGTTTTCACTAAAGCCATGCAGGCAAATAGCTTGCCCAAGATGTCTACAATCATTAAAAGACATTTTCAGCAGCAATGCATCCAATTTCTTTAGCAACTTTTAAAGATCAGCCTAGTGTTTGCAGGTCAGCCCTGTAAAATTTGATAAGGTAGATTTCTGGCAAATTTAACGTTTGACAACTTTCTAGCAAACAAACAAATTTGGGCAAAAGTCGGTTTTGATCCAGGCATAGTTTACAAGGTACTAGTATATGTCTCAGTCAAACCCTAAATACATCTGTCTACAGCCACCTTCCACCTCGACATGAAGACAACTCACCTTTGTCTCCTCCCTCATCTCCCCAGGAGTTCTCCACCCTCCACTTCACGTACTTCTCATCATCATTCTGAAAAGTTAGTCATATTGAAGCTGTGTTAGTGATAGTCCATAAAAAACAAATCCTGCTATACAGGGCTGTAATACGGTAGCGGAAACTTGGTCCCTATGAGCGTGATTTAATCAGGCTATATGGTAGTAGTGAAATCAAGAACTCAATTTAGAAAGCAATTTGACAGCATAAATCTCTGCAAAGACATCACAGCTTTCTCCATAGGATTTACATAACTGTATATTTCAGTTTGAAAGAGAGCTGCAGTTTCAAAAAGACTGCCAGGGGGTGTTGTTCTGTTGATGAACATGTGTTGTAATGCCTTGGCAGTCAGAACATCTATGTCTGTACTTACCTGAGTAAAAGCTGTGATGACCATGGCATGGGTCATGAGAGATTCCCCAAATATCACCCTCTGGGACTTGTCCATCGTTTTCCTGGATACTCCAAGAGTCAACTCAAAGTCGTGCCTGAAGAACAAATTCAAAGTAGAAAAAATTTTTCTTCATTTTATGCTCTAACAAATTAAAATAATTAAATCCATTACACAAATATATAAGGTACTGTCTTGACAACTTATACAAAGAGATACGTGTATTTTCCACAAATACAAATTGAATTATGTCCGAGGACGTTCAAGTAACATATACCAATTGGCACTTACGACTCAAGATTCATGGCGCCCAGTTTGCGATCGAAGTGTTGTCCCACATCACAGCCAAACCAGACAGCCTTTACAGACAGAAGCAATTATAATGTTATCATGATTTTTCAATCATGCTCAGTTAGCAACAAGAACAGAAATGCACTTACAAACCAACATCCATGATGCCCAGTTTGTCATTAGACTGTGGGTCTTCGTCACATCCGAACCAGACAGCCTTCACCGACAGAAACAAGAAATCCAAGATTTCATAGCTCTGTGACTCGTCTAGAATTGTTGTGAATTTCTGGTTTTATCCCTTATTGAAAATTTCTCTCTGATTCTGTGGATATTAAACATCACTTCAGTCCATGGGGAGGCCATTTTGACCACCTTTCTTTCAGTCTGTGGTTCTCACTTCCGGTGAGCCTGCTGTATTCAAAATAACTACAGACACACAAGCAACCATACAGAAAAACACACCAAAACCAATATCTCCAAAAACGGAGGTAACAACACAGTAAAAGAACTCTACTACCCCCAATCCTGATAAACCATTACCTTCTGTTGTTTTCATTAAAAGATACAAACGTGTATATCAAGGTGATTTTCATGTATCTTCAGTTTAATTTTTTCTTGAAGTGCTGCAGCAAATCAGTAAGCAGAATTTAACCTTCTGTTTTTCATCTGAGGGCAACAAAACATCATCATCATCATTTCAAAACACAACAAACATTTCTAAACAATTTGGTGCTGACCTCCCCCGCCTTGATGGAATCTGCCGTGGCCTTCTTCAGGACACTGATTGGCTGGTTGTTGTACAGAACCTTGCGGCCCTCGTGCATGTTTCCCAGGAACTCCACTGTGTACAGCTTACTGAAGGGGTTGGCAGGACGACAGTCATTCACCAGGCAGACCTGTAAAAAATAAAGGATGAAATTTATGACACTGGAATGGTTCCCACACTACTTTAAGATGAGTATCACAGCCATTTGTGGGGTCATGTGGCGTAAACGATAGCGTGTTTGGCTCAGGACCAAGAGGTCCCGGGTTCATATCCTACCCATGTCACCGATCTTGTGCCCTTATCTTGGGAAAGGCACTTTTTTACACAATCGCGACTTTGTTCACTTGCTCTCAGGTGGAAATGAGTACCTAGCTATAGGGACGTCCCTTGAATAGGACAGATTAGATGGAGGTCCCGTGTTTGGGGAGAGCCACACCCCACGCATGTTAAAGAACCTATCG